TCTACCTCTGATGTCGTTGTCTTCTCATCCTGGTGTAGTGTAGTTTCTCTTGTTTGAGCATCATTTTAAGGTGAAATCAGGTCAGCTGTCTTCTCTATAGATCAATCCAGTAGGGGCCTTTGGAAGTGGGAATTAATCTAAGAGTTAATTTCCCTTCAGTTTCATTGTGCATGAGCTAATTAAGAGTACCTGAAAAAAAGTCTTTCCATCCAGGTTGGAGACAGTCTCTTAAATTATGTCTTTTTCCAGTCCTGGTTGCAGGTCATGAGGCATCTGATCTTCGTCCAAAGATAGGTTACTGAGATAAGCTTCAGAAAAACACTTTCACATTAATATCACATAACAGAATTGATCATAGACTTTTTATTTTGCTGAAACACTTATAGGATCTGACTGAACTTTTAATATAAAACAGGGCTGGGAAACTCACACCAAAGGCTTATCACAGATTTTGCCTAACAAATCTAGGTGAACTCTTTTTTTTTTTTTAAGGTCTCAAAAATTCCTTGAGATTTTTGTACCTGTTAGTGAGATAACCTTTTTAGCTCATTTGATAAACTTACTGGAAACTTAAGAGTTTCAAATTTATATGGAGGAGTCAGATAGAGAGAAAATATAATTGTTTTGTTTATAACATGTAATTTTACCAATTTATTTTTATAATTAGTTTAAGAGGAAGGTTTTCTCTACTCCCAGAAAACACACGATTTAAACTTGTAATTTCTCAGATAGAAACCATAAGAGTTATAAGCATATTCGCTGGTTCATTCAGTCCTTTGTTAACTTTTGTGAAGTCATCAGGTTTTTTATCATAATACCAAGACATATCAAAATGTTAAGAACTCTATATAATTTCTAGGATATCTGTATTAGTAATTTTTCATACATTATAACATGAGCGGATTTATTACTCATTTGATAATCTTTTTCATGTAATTTAACCAACCAAATAAACAGTTTAATATCTCTCTTTGGGATGTTTCAGGGGCCCTCTGAAACACCCCAAAGTTAGCTAGATGTCAAAGGAACTTTAAAAGAACTCGATTCAGGAAGTTTTATCAAAAAGATCAATTAAAAGCTTTAGAACATTTGGTCAGATTCAGTCAATGTTGATGGGTGTATAAAACATTTTAGGATGGCATCAAACATTATTCCTTTATAGTCCCAAATCTCTTTAGTTTTTCTGTAAAAGGAAATTAGTGTTTAGTAGTAAATGTTTCAAAATCTTATTTCATTTGGAAATGACCTAATTATTTAATAGACTTCTAATACTTAGTTTAGCACAACCCTTAGAAATTCAAGTTACACCAATCTGGAGAGACTATTTTAAACAGATATTTTTAAAGAATAATTATTTTTAATAGAGTTTATATACAAACTCATACCTCATTTACATTTTTAGACGTTTTTTTTACTTGAGGTAATTTCCTTGTCGACAAACCTGTAACAGGCATAATATTTAACTTATATTAAACCTAGGCACAATGAAAACATTTTACTTGATGTTATTTACTCTAAGACATGTCTATATTAGATAGGTCAACAAACAAACATTAATATCAGGTATTTAATACTGAATATTTCCCAGTTCACCTAAGCCTGGAATTTATTGTTTAATTTAGAATTATTTGATTTGTAAGCGCTTACCCCTTTTTAAGCCAATTATATAGAGCTCATTTACAAATTAACCTAAAAATATTTTTTTAGAGATAAAGACATACCAAAACATATTTAGACAGATACAGTGTAAGATCTATCTTCATTTTCTAAGTTTGGTCATGAATTAGATATTACAATATAAAATTAAAATAAATAACATTTTTAAAGGCTTCTTTTTTCCTTTTTTTCTCAGTCTCAGGAGTTAAAGATGGTCTAGATGAGTTTTCTTGAGAGCCCTGGTCTCAAGGCACAGGGAAAGAAAATCAAGTTTTAACAAAACGGCGGCAGGTCTAAATGGTGGCCAGACAAAGCAAAATAGCCGTCACAAATCACAACACAGAACAGAGTTAAAACACACATATAATCCTGGCAGTCCTCATCAGACACTCCCTTAAATACAAGAATACATTCTCTCAGAAAACTTTTATAGAGACACAAAACTTCAGATGTCTTCAAAGATTTCAAAAGGAGGAGGACCAGAGACAATGCCGGCATACACAAACACAGAGAGCCAAGGCAAACACACAGACAGACAAACGTCGGCCGATAACATAGCGCTGGGTTTTCGGGCCCCCTGAATTCTCTTGCCTCCCGGTAGCAGGTTCACCTTACCAAATGGCGTCCACTGTTCACCAGACTTGGGGTCGGGAGAGGAACTTTCTTTCCCACAGCATCAGCTGCCTCCCAGCACGTCCGCTGGCCTCGGCCTTATGCCGGCTGGAACGTTTAATCCGTTCCCCCCTTTATAGAAAGCCTTCCCACGGAGTCGGCTGCCTCCCAGCGCATCCGCTGGCCTCAGCCTTACGCCGGCTGGCCCCCCTTTATAAAAAGCTTTCTTCTGCGCCAGATACCTTCTTGCTTCCCAGTAGGGCCTCGGATTTACACTGGACTTTCCTGTCCTGAGCACCGGTGTTATTATTTACCCTTCCCCTTTGTCCTGTAAGTGTTCTCTTCTCCCGGTCAAGGGATCCCGGACGAGCCCCCAAATGTTATGCCCGATGTCCGAATCCCAGAGCGGGAAGAGAGAAGGCTTCCAAGACAATGCAACTCGCAAAAAAAGGGAAGTTTATTACTGATTCAAGCCAGGGCTTTCTGCCGCAACCATCGCAGTGGTGCAGGGTCAGAAAGCCCTGAGCAGAGGCGGTTACCCAAATTTATAAGGTATGCATAAGAAGTTAGTAGCTGGCTTAAGCAGATTGGTTACATGTTTGCAAAGCAATTTTATTGGTAAAAACTTTCGCGGGCTTTTGTTCAAACTTAGGCGTCAGCGGGCTTTTCAGCTCTCCCTTTGTTTATTACTGGGTGCATATTGATTGGCTGGCTCCAGGTTACCTGATGGGGGCGGGGAATCCCACCATTTCAGGGGAAACCGAAACCCAGGTCCGGGCCGCCTGCCAGCCCCGGCAGCCCCACACTTATAACATCAAGAGTACATTAAATACAAAATCATGCATCATTAGTATATAAGTAAAAACAATTTTTTATATGAATAAACTTTTATTGAATTTTAGATAATTAGAAAGAATAAAGAAATGCAAGATAAATGCTTTTGAAACAACATCTGACAGTATCATCTTTTTTGTCATTGGTATTTTCACTTTTCTTTATAAAAAGTATAGACATTCATTTATTTAAATTTTTACAAAGTCAAGAACCATCAAATGGAAAATATAAGTAATGCTAGAGTAAATTCAGCTTTTCATCAATATTGGGATGGTTGCAGTGGTTAGGTTCAGAACTTAGCCCTCTTGGAAAGATAATGTATGCAGCAGCTGTTGGTTTCCATTATTCAAATAAGTCTTAAAACCAGGAGGCCACTTCCTGTGACGACTGTTCTTTCAGGAAAAGAGGGCAAAAAGCATGGTGGGATGACAGAATGAAAGACAATAAGGGGGAAAGAAAAGATGGCCTGATCGCATCACAGGGTCAGAATCACAAAAAATTTAGGAAACACATCTGGGACGAAACCATTCGTGTGTTGCTTAAAGTGAGGTTAAGGCGAGACTGTCACCAGGACAAGCATGGCCAGATCTACAGAGCACACCAACTGGCAAGTCTGTGGATCGCCTGGTGGGCTCCAGGCTAGGTAACTGATCACAGAGGTTCTCTTTACAGTGGTGCAAAACGCATTTGGGCAAAATTGCAACCCTGGGCTGTGACAAGTACAGGACAGAGCCTCTCAGGAGCCTATCTGAAGACATTCCTTTTGTCTCAGTCTTATCTCTTTTGCAAATCTAATCATTATGGAAACAAACAAAAAAAAAACAAGACAAAGCAACTCCTGCCCTCCCTTTAACAACCTAGAAATCTGGACTTGTCAAACAAGGAAAATTCACCTCCCACAGTACAAAGGCATAGGGTGCTGCCCTCATTAAGAGCAGCCTGGCATGAGAGCAGGGAGACCTGGAGAGCCCTGCCAACAGGCTGCCAGGAATTCCTCTCCACGTGCCTGCATGACCTAGGTCTTTTATGAAGGGCCTCCTGCCGGGTTCAATCCACGTATTCTCAATGAACACGGTGTTAACAGTAGTCTTTACTTTCCTAACCCAATGCCTCTCACTTATTTTCCTTAAAAAAAACAAGAGTTTTCTTTTTAAAAATATTTTCCCAGAAATAAGGAACAGTAATTGTCATGGACCTACAACAGACCCCAGAAAAACATAGACAGGCAATAATCTGTCAATATAGCAGTACTCCAAATATGAAATTCATGGTCCAGGAAGAGATAAATAAATAAATATGACAGGGCTTCTCCAAGAAGTTTCTAGTTTTCACCCATTCCCTCCTGACTTTTGTTGGTGTAAAAAGATATGATACAAGAGCCAGCCCTGTAAAGACCAATACTTGCCATTTATGCCATTTGGCCCCTACAGTGGGAGGGGATGGAGAGAGGCCAGACGATGCACAGGGGTGCTCAGTATGTTTTCTAAAGACACCTATCTTTTTAAATAATTTCATTATTTAAATTCCATGTGGCACTTTATTCTCTTGAAAAATTATTACATTAGGCGTGAATTAAAAAAACAAGCCCGTCTGGACTGCAGATAGGTTTTCAGTGCTACTCTGCTCTTACACCTCCTTCCTTGGCTTGGCACATCTGTGAGATCCAGCTTTCTGAATGGAATCCTGAGACCGCTCGGGTGGCGGAACATGTCTTCATGCCGGAACATTCCAGTTCGGTTTACAAATCTTAGTGGCCAGGTCAGAGCACAGCCTCCTCCTCTGTGCTTTTTACTAGTATCATTGTCAGGAAATTGTCCTTCCCAGCTCTGCCACCCCACCCTCCCCCTGGATTGAGGGCATCCTTGGCTTTTTTTCTGCACACGCCCTCCGCCGGCGTCCTATACCAGGGACCCGGCCCGACTCTGGGCTGGCACCATGACAGGGACAGCGCCGATGCGCTCCAGGGTGGCTTGGCTGACGGTGTAGGAGTGTGTGTTCAGTGACGGTACGGGCGGAGGCCGGGCCTTCCTGCTGACAGAACCATTGCTCTTGGACACGGCCTGCGGTGACGACCCTCTGCTGGCCGTCACTACCAGGGTCTTCTGCGGGGCTGGGGCCAGATGGCTGCCGTTGGCATAGATGGCTGGAATGCTGGCGTTGCCCGAGTGGAGGGAGAAGGACTGGCGCAAGTCACCAAAGTGGCTGAACGACTCTGTGTTTCTGTGCACTTTGGGGTTGCTGCTCCAGTAGCGGCTGTTGTAGGTATTGGAAGAGGTCAGTGTGTTGTTCTCCGAGGAGGATATCTCCGTGTGAAATGCTTTGGCAGAAGAAGAACATTTAGGTGGAAGATCATCCTCTCTGAAAATGAACAAAAGTAAAGCTGTTGTCAGAATTTACTTGATGTCCACCCTACCCTTCTGCCCAGGACTCTTTCTTCTCATATTTAGGCTAACATGTCTATGAAATTCACCCCCTCAGGACAGACCACTCTCTCATGAAAGCAAACATGGCAAACACCAGGCCTCGGTGCTGACGTTCATTCCCTTTAAGACAATGCTTAAGAAAAATTCTCCCTCAACATCTCAGTCTCCAAGAGAAAAAAAAGTAGTATCAAATCTTCCAAAGACTATGTCTTCCAATGTAATTGAAATATTATATATACATGTGTACATATGTGTGTGTATATATATAGTGCTCTAAATAGGAAAATAGTCCATGAAGAAATCCACTGAGCTAGCTGCTATAAAATAGCTAGGAAACCATCCTATGGATGTAGCAACTTCAAAAAACTACTAGGGTTGGCTTGATTTGCATTTGGGGATATTTGAGAAATCCCTGTGGTGTGCTGATGAGAGGTTTTTCTCATTAATCTTACACTGGGATGAAATCTGTCCAAGCCCTTAAGAATTATAAGAGCCTAAGACAAGTTCTTAAGTTAATCTAAGATGCTAACTAATTCACTTAACATTTCCTGAGTACCAGGCATTTTATTAGATGTTTCATATGAGAAAAAAAAAAAAGACAGCTCTTCTACCTAAGACTAGGGCCTAAGTCAACTTATGTGAGAATGTGGTGCCTAGACTAGTCTTAGACCTGACCGAAGAATGTATTGAAGAGATGGATGAAGAGGGACCAGAAGTATGGTCCAGGAAGAGGGTGGGAGCTAAAGGAAAAGCCTCGAGGCACGAGGGAAGACAGACTAGACTGGAGCTGTGTCTGTCATTTTTAATAAGGATATTGATGTGATGCCATCTAAGACTGAGCCTGAACCCCATACTCCCACAATACACCAAGGGTCACCTTTCTCTCAATATCATTTGACATTCTTTCCTGACGATGTTCACATTCTTGACTCAATTGTTTTCAACCAAGTTATACTGGTTTCGTCTATCTGTACAGGTGGTGTTCTTTCTTGTTTATGAACTCATCATTTATAAATGCCAACATTAAATACACATTCTAAAGTAATTTTTCTACTATGGCAGCCACCTAATCCCACCCACCCTGAAGCTATGGCAGGAAATGAGGAGATTCTTCACTTGTGTCCTCCTTGTTGGGCACATGCTAGACTAGCCGCTGCTCCCCATCCATGATCCAGTAAATAAAGCTGAGCAGTCAATGAGAAAAAGTGATGTAACATACAAGAAACGATCATTTGGCCACTTTAACTGTCTTGGTTAAAGTCATAATATTAGCACACAAACCTTAGCTGCCAAATAGAAATATAACAGAAACACAGACACCGGATATACCAATGTCAGGATAAATTATCTGACACACAAACCTTATTTCATTAGGAATTTCTTCTTCCTCCTCCTCTTTATTTTTGCTTCTCCAGTAAAAGAATGCCCCTAAAATTAGTGCAATGCAAAAAATGATAATAACTGCACCAGTGCCAATGGCTCCAGCTATTAGTCCAATGCTCCTGGGCTGGGCTGCAAAATATATTTAAGGTATATTTAAAGAAAAAAAGGAGAGAGAGAGAGAAATAGAATATGCTCATGCAACTTCATAAATAGTTAAGACCACCCAAGAATCTTCTTAAAATGCACAAAATTGCCTACAGTATTGCATCCATCTAAAGTTATATCTTGCTTAACTTTCTGTATCCCCAGTGGCTAGGACTAAAACAACAGGCTCACAAACATTTACTGAATGAATAAACATTTACACAACTCACAGCTGCAGGAGAGTCACCACCATAGCACAGCAGGAAAAAGACCACACCTGACTACCTGTCTATGTGCGTGCATGCTAAGTCACTTCTGGTGTGTCCAACTCCCTACAACCTATGGACTGTGGCCCGCCAGACTACTCTGTCCATGGGATTCTCCAGGCAAGAATACTGAAGTGAACTGCCACGCCCTCCTCCAGGGGCTCTTCCCGACCCAAGGATTGAACCCAGGTCACCTGCACTATAGGTGGATTCTTCACCACTGAACTACCCAGGAAGCCTAACCTACCTGCCTACCTGCCCACAATGAACCCAGCAAGCAGTGGGACTTTTCACCTCCTCTTAGTCAGATCATTCCCTTTTGCAGCTGGAATTCAAATAACCCAGGATTCTCAACTAGAGAAAAAACATCTGCACTACTTAGGTATGACCTGGGCACCCAACATTTTAGCAGACATAAGGGATTAGGAGAAAATACAAAAAGGTCTTGCCATGACCAGAAGGTTACTCCGAATTTTTATATGTCTCCAGCGCTACACAATCGGAACTGATTTGATTCTAATGATCCTGAGGAGAAGACATTTTACCATAAAGAACAAGTCATATTGCTGAGGCTGAAAAGTACACTAGTATATTTCTGTAACATTTTCAATAATGATTAAAATCAAAACAACTTCTATTTTCTCTTCAAATGATCTAAGTCCCATTAAGCGAAACTCTTCATTCCCTGGTTTAATGAAGATCTTGGCATTTCAGAAACAGAGTGGACACCAGAATTTCACATACTTACGAGAAATGACCTGGAGATCCAAAAGACAGGTGCTGGTCCCAATGGCGTTAGAAGCCACACACTGGTACAAACCTGACGACAAGGCGCTGATATTCCGGATGGTGACTGTTCCGTGGACCTGGTCTGTCACAAAAATAACAGTCAAGTGAGGATTTTGGAAAGAAAACAGGAAACCAAAGAAATCAGCAGAAGGCTATAAAAAAAATGAACAGTGAAGAACTATCAATATTGTTTTTCTGGAGAGAGTTTTTGGTTTATGAATGTTAAAGACTAAATCATAAAATAAAGTTAAAGACCTAGAGCTACAGAAAAAAGTGAAATTAGTTGGTCAGTCGTGTCTGACGCTTTGTGACCCCATGGACTGTTGCCCACCAGGCTCCTCTGTCCATGGGATTCTCCGTGCAAGAATAATGGAGTGGGTTGCCATGCCCTCCTCCAGGGGATCTCCAATCCAGGGAGCGAGCCTAGGTCTCCCACGTTGCAGGCAGATTCTTTAATAGCTGAGCCACCAGGAAGAGCTACAAAGGACTGTCCTAAATAAGGGCAGTCTCACAGCCTAATCTGCAGATTAACGTGAGGTCCTAAAGGTGAGTAGCCTTCCCTGAGGAAATGTTGGCTAATGCCTGTTTTAGAGAATCTACGATCATAAATACTGAATTTTAATTCTGAGGAAATGCTATAATACAAAACTGAGGTTAAACCCATTATGCTAATGTTTGCTTCATTCTTAATGGGGAAAATATCCACTCTGTGCTCCAAGGTGTAGACTGTTACTCCCTTTCAATAATGATTATAACCATTCCTCAGTCCACCTCCTCCACAAGGTGGACACCAAGGCAAGCAAGAGGTTTACTGGAGGCAATGGCAGTAAAGGAAGCAGAGAGGAACCTGGAGAAACAAGGGAGAGGCTCGGACTGCAGTACAGGTCTGACCCCATGGAGGGGAGAGGAAAGAAAGGAGGGGGCGTTTTCAGACTGCAGCACAATGTTGCTGAAGTTTCCACCAGGTTGATGGGGAGTCCTGGAGACAAAGTCACCTGTTCCAGGCATCTCGCTCCTTGCAGGAACAGGCCTGTATTAGCAGCCCGCTGAGTCTGGTGACTGGCTGGGAGCAGTCCGGGCAAAGCCTGCCTGGCTGGGAAGCAGTGCTGGACGCTGGAGGAAGCTGCTGAGGCTGTCAGTCAGTCATGCTCCCCACAGCAGGAGCTCTCAGCCAGGCATGTTCAAGGTGATCACAATGATATTGCAAAGAACTGTTTCAGGGCTTCACATTTCAGTCATTTATCAACATGAGGATAGTTTATTTATTCCTTATAAACAAAATGTAAATCACCTGATAAAAACCAAAGTTAATAGTTATTACTATGTGCCAAGTACTGGCTAAGCTTTTATACGCTATTATCCTTATCGTTACAATCACTCTTAGAGGTAGTATTATTATTAATCCCATTGAACAGATAAGGAAACTGAGGCTTCAGAAAAGTAATAAGATTACACAACTGGGCAACAGGAATTATAGCTGGATGGAGGGCTGTCTTACCTCTCAGTTCAGGGTTTCACTGCCTCCCTTAGGCAGAACATAACCATCCGTCACCTCAGCTCCTCAGAACAGCAGCACATCAGGAAAGGCTCCTGACTGCACGCTTCTGGCGCAAAGTCCACACTCCTTGGGCAACACCTGGGGCTCTCGCTACCCTGTGCTGACAACACTGACATGAAACTAAGACTGAATTACCTAGTTCCTGCTGGCAATCTTCATAGACCAAAGGCAGAAGCAGAGCCATTGAAGAAATATTTATTGAGCACCTTTCTGTGTACCAGGTAATTTCTGAAGATGGGGATACAATGACAAACCAGACAAACGCAGCCCTGTACTTTAATGAGACAAGTAGGCAAGAAATCATAATAAGTGGGGTAAGTGCCATCACCAGAGGATACAAGGTGCTGGGGAGCACAGAAGAGACACATCTGATGAGGATGAGCAAATTCTCAAAGATCCCCAGACAGCAACAGCCCTCAGGGTCATCTCACTGCATTCCAACATAATACAGTGGGTAGTGTTAACAAGGACTGAATCATCAAACACACATGGAAATTAACATCAGTATACAGGCCAGGAAAAGGAGGGGGTTTTTTGTTTTGTTTTTGCTATTGCTTTCCAGTGGAAGAATGTAAATGATCCAACCCATATTATATGGATATTCTTACTAAATGGGTATCTTACTTAAGACATTTGAATTGTACTGTACACACCCAAGTCAATATACCTGGCAGTTATTTGGTTCACACTTGTATGTTATTTCCTTTTCCTTAAGAACACATGATTCTGATGTCTACCAATGTCTGGGATTTTCAGTGAACTCAAGAGAGTTGGGCCAGTCTGGAGGGAAACTTGTTTTCTCCTCCTCTATGTTCTATTTGATTTCCCAGACTCTCATAAACATCTCTCCCATGTGTTTCCCAGCACCCTGTATTCTCTAGTGCTGGAACTTACCCCATTTATATAATTTCTTACCTACTTGTCTCATTAGGATAATGGACTGGGTTTTTCTTGTTTATCACGGTATCACCATCCTCAGAAATTACCCAGCACACGGAAAGTTACACAACAAAGAAATAAATGGACTATCTTCTCTTGAGTGTCTATTGTGTACCACATGCACTATACTAAGTTTTACATGTCTCTTTAATTTTACAAACCTTAAGTTTTATATTCTATACTTTTCAAAAGTGACAAAGCTCAGAGAAGCTATGCAATTGGTCCAAGATCACACAGTACACAAGTAGCAACACATAAAATGAGGTCTGTCTGTGTCCAAAGCTCATAATCACCATATCCCTACTTGGCTTTCTAGTAAGATATTTAATACCATAATATTCTCTGGGGTACATCTAGAGGATATTTTCTAACTTTGCAATCAATGTCCCAATGCCGTTAGTCTTAAACTAAGCCATCTGTGTAAATCCATCTTCAATACATTAACAAATGTCATCATTCAAGAAAACCATAATTTTTGGACCACTCAGTCAGTCAGTTCAGTCGCTCAGTCATGTCCGACTCTTTGCGACCCCATGAATCGCAGCACGCCAAGCCTCCCTGTCCATCACCAACTCCTAGAGTTTACTCAAACTCATGCCTATCAAGTTGGTGATGCCATCCAGCCATCTCATCCTCTGTCGTCCCCTTCTCCTCCTGCCCCCAATCCCTCCCAGCATCAGGGTCTTTTCTAATGAGTCAGTTCTTCGCATGAGGTGGCCAAAGTATTGGAATTTCAGCTTCAGCATCAGTCCTTCCAAAGAACACCCAGGACTGATCTCCTTCAGGATGGACTGGTTGGATCTCCTTGCAGTCCAAGGGACTCTCAAGAGTCTTCTCCAACACCACAGTTCAAAAGCATCAATTCTTCGGTGCTCAGCTTTCTTCACAGTCTAACTCTCACATCCATACATGACCACTAGAAAAACCATAGCCTTGACAAGACGGACCTTTGTTGGCAAAGTAATGTGTCTGCTTTTTAATATGCTATCTAGGTTGGTCATAACTTTCCTTCCAAGGAGTAAGCATCTTTTAATTTCATGGCTGCAATCACCATCTGCAGTGATTTTTGGAGCCCAAAAAAATAAAGTCTGATGCTGTTTCTACTGTTTCCCCATCTATTCCCCATGAAGTGATGGGATCAGATGTCATGATCTTAGTTTTCTGAATGTCGAGCTTTAAGCCAACTTTTTCACTCTCCTCTTTCACTTTCATCAAGAGGCTTTTTAGTTCCTCTTCACTTTCTGCCATAAGGGTGGTGTCATCTGCATATCTGAGGTTATTGCTATTTCTCCCAGCAATCTTGATTCCAGCTTGTGCTTCATCCAGCCCAGCATTTCTCATGATGTACTCTGCATATAAGTTAAATAAGCAGGGTGACAATATACAGCCTTGACGTACTCCTTTCCCAATTTGGATCAGTCTGTTGTTCCATGTCCAGTTCTAACTGTTGCTTCCTGGCCTGCATACAGGTTTCTCAACAGACAGGTCAGGTGGTCTGGTAGTCCCATCTCTTTCAGAATCTTACACAGTTTATTGTGATCCACATAGTCAAAGGCTTTGGCATAGTCAATAAGGCAGAAATAGATGTTTTTCTGGAACTCTTTTGCTTTTTTGATGATCCAGTGGATGTTGGCAATTTGATCTCTGGTTCCTCTGCCTTTTCTAAAACCAGCTTGAACATCTGGAAGTTCTTGGTTCACATATTGCTAAAGCCTGGCTTGGAGAATTTTGACCATTACTTTACTAGCGTGTGAGATGAGTGCAATTGTGCGGTGGTTTGAGCATTCTTTGGCATTGCCTTTGTTAGGGATTCGAATGAAAACGGACCTTTTCCAGTCCTGTGGCCACTGCTGAGTTTTCCAAATTTGCTGGCATATTGAGTGCAGCACTTTGACACAATCATCTTTCAGGATTTGAAATAGCTCAGCTGGAATTCCATCACCTCCACTAGCTTTGTTCATAGTGATGCTTTCCAAGGCCCACTTGACTTCACATTCCAGGATGTCTGGCTCTAGGTGAGTGGTCACACCATTGTGATTATCTGGGTCATGCAGATCTTTTTTGTACAGTTCTTCTGTGTATTTTTGCCACCTCTTCTTAATATCTTCTGCTTCTGTTAGGTCCATACCATTTCTGTCCTTTATCGAACCCATCTTTGCATGAAATGTTCCTTGGTATCTCTGATTTTCTTGAAGAGATCTCTAGTCTTTCCCATTCTGTTGTTTTCCTCTATTTCTTTGCATTGATCACTGAGGAAGGCTTTCTAATCTCTCCTGGCTATTCTTTGGAACTCTGCATTCAAATGGGAATATCTTTCCTTTTCGCTTCTCTTCTTTTCACAGCTATTTGTAAGGCCTCCTCAGACAACCATTTTGCCTTTTTGCATTTATTTTCCATGGGGATGGCCTTGATCCCTGTCTGCTGTACAATGTCACAAACCTCCATCCATAGCCAATTAACAATGTCGTGAGAGTTTCAGGGGAACAGCAACGTGACTCAGCCATAGATATACATGTATCCATTCTCCCCCAAACTGCCCTCCCACCCAGGCTGCCACATAATATTGAGCAGAGTTCTCTGTGCTATACAGGAGTTCCTTGTTGGTTATCCATTTTACATATAGCTGTGTGTACCCGTCCATCCCACACTCCCTAACTATCCCTTCCCCCATTCTTCCTCGTCCCTGCCTAGCAACCACTAAGTTTGTTCTCTGACTCCTCAGTCTCTTTCAGTCTAGGACAGTTGCCTGTGTCCTCATTCCCTGCTGGGTATTTCCTCATGACTGGACTCAGGTGATGCGCTTTGACAGAAACACTGAAGCAGCGATGCTGTGTCCTCAGTGCGTAAGACATGAGGCACACAACAGCAGTTTGTCACAACACTGGTTGTGTGGTTACAGTGGTGTCCACCAGGCCTCTCTACTATAAAGTTACTATTTACTCTTTGTGATTAGTAAGTTATTTGCGGAGAAATACTTTATAACTAGTAAACATGTTTCTCATCAAACAACAGCTCCTATTTTGACATTAGGGATGATTTTCTAACTGTCATACCTTCTACCAACACTGGTAGCCATTCTAATGTAAGAAAAGGCTCTCCTTTCTCCCCCATTTATTTATGTCTATCAGAAGGGATTCAGGGATTCTCACTGTGTTCAGTGGATTACATTATTATTTCAGTGTTCACACTGTCCCAGATTTGTCCCAGAAGGAGCTCCTTCAAGCTGGCTCCTATACAAGGACAATTCTAATCCCCACATGTAATGCTCTGTCACTACCCAGACTTCTGGGTTGCCCTGTTCTGGTGGCAGGTATTCTTTTCTCAGGAATGCATACTGAATTTATATTAAGCAAATGTATACAGATTAGTAAGATAAATCTTCTATAAGAAGAGGTAAATTTAATTAAAAATCAGACTCATTTAATGTGTATTATTATAATAGACGAAGTTATCCAAAGTTAAGTCTGACAACCAATCCAGAGTTGGAATTACAAGACACATGCTGTCATCTTTGGCATTCATGTTCACTTTTACACCTAAGTACCAAAGAATATGCAAGTTGCAAAGAAGATATCAAGAAATTTGAGTAATATCTATTTATTCAGAAACAAGTAGGTATGGAAGGCTCTTTCTACAGATACTCACAGGTTATATACAACCATTTTTAAACTTTATTTGCAATTCCAAACTCAGACCAATATTTCAAAGAAATGTTATAAATCATAGAATCTTAATGCTGATACAGAGGAGTTGGAAATGATATTGCTAAATCCCTTTATTTTACAAAAAGACAACACACACACAAAAAGGATAACACAGGCCCAAAGAGGTGAACTGTCAGAAATAGTTACTGGACAATCTAGGACTTGAATATAGTTTTCAGGATTTAAAGATAAGAGCTATTCTAAACATGCCACTTACAACATTAAGATTAATAAATCAGGCCATGAAAGAAAAAAAAATAAAGCTATTTAGCCTCACAGTATGGTTAAAACATCTAGCAATAAACAATCAGTAAGGAACAACAGCATTGTAGTCATCATTATTAGAATAACCCAGAAGTTACTATGGTGAAAAATTGGTTTTTAAAATAATACTGGGATAGGTTAATTAAAAAGTGATGGGAAGATCCATTAATAATTTCTGTGGGGATTCTTAAAGGAAACTGAAGCACTCTTAATAGGCTGGTGATCCTGGTTCTTTCATGTCCAACTTCACCATAGAACTTAGGACTTTTCTTCCCATGACAAGTATACACCATCAATATGATTCAAACTTATCAAGCATAACTAAGGTTGTTTGGAACCTCTCCATTAATTGCCAGCTACTTAAGATCTGTAAATCTTCCCTGAGAATGCTAGAAGAGATATGATCTGTATTAGAGATGATGTAACACACAAGATAGCAAAAATTTATCTCCTTGAAATAGAAATTATATATATAATTGTAGAATTTCCCTCATTTCATACGTTTTCCTCAGTTTTCAAGGATGTTTCCTTTAATATCAAATCTAAGCAGTTGGATTTACATGCAGTAAGCCCTCAATGATACTCATGCCTCCTCCATCTTTACCTGTCTGCTGTGATTAACTCCTTAATCTCCCATGATCTGAGGCCTTTTCCTGCTCTCTTTCCTATCTTCCTCCTCTAATTAGACTTGAGGCTGAAAAGGATGATTAACCCTCTCATAACTATGTGGATGTTTCTCATACTGACACAGGCAATTGTTTCTTAAGTAGAAGTAGATTCTCAGTTACAAACTTCAAGGATTATTTTACAGTTAGCAATTCAAAGAAACTACCAATTAGCTATTTTAAATTTTCACTACAAAGAAACAGAATTTCCATATATAGTTACCACTGGATAAGATACATTTCATAAAGTCAGCAATGAGAAGATGAAAGAAAACAGTTTTATTCTCTTTAGAGCTGAAAACACAAAACAATCCTGATAGCTTTTCAGCAGTTACAAATACAGTGTGTTCTTTGGATGTGAGGGCGATCTGGTTGCGACATCTGTCACCCCATTGATCGCCAGGGTTGATTCGGCTGATCTGGCTGGCTAGGAGGGTGTCCCCTTCCTCCCTCACCGCTCCATGTGTGTCCCTCCCGAAGCTGCGCGCTCGGTCGAAGAGGACGACCATCCCCGATAGAGGAGGACCGGTCTTCAGTCAAGGGTATACGAGTAGCTGTGCTCCCCTGCTAGAACCTCCAAACAAGCTCTCAAAGCTATTAAAGTTAATTACTTTGTGAATCACCTGTGAATTGAAATTTTCCATGATAATGAATTAAATGGACAAAGCAACACCATACATACCCTGAGTTGCTGTTGGAGGTAGTTTGAGGGTATTGTCTAACTTCTCCCAAAGGTAAGTTGGTCGAGGAATGCCCTCCTCTGAGCTACAGAGCAGGATGACATCGCTGCCGATATCCTGTGACCCTTGGATTTGGCAGTGTGGGGCAGAAGGGGGAACTGTAACAGGAAGAGTAAGTAACAGAGGATACATTTACCATGAGCCAGAGGATGACAGAAGACACATCAACATTCAGCACACTGGAACCTCAGATGGCACTGTTGGGGAGCGCATACCAGAAGACCTCCTCATGAGCAAAGCCAGTGAACACTGTGTACTGTTCACAGGACTTGGTCACGAGTGCAGGGCCGACAACTTCAGCTGGCAGGGAGCAAGTATGTAAAAAGGGAAACAGCTTCTGATTATATTTTCAAGATACCTTATGGTTTTAGTTTCACTGTTTTTTTCCTCCAAAGATCTGTACTCAAATTATTTTTAAAATCCTCTGTCAACATATTGCTTTTAAAAGCATTACTGAATTCACACAAGTTCACAGCGGCATTATTCACAATAGCTAAAAGGTGGAAATAACCCAAGTGTCTATAGATGGATGGATGAACAAAATATAGTATGGACATACAATGGAGTATTATTTAGCCTTGATAAGTAAGGAAATTCTGACACAGGCTACAACATGGAGGAAGCCGGAGAACATAATGTTAAGAGAAAAAATTCAGTTATAAAAAGACAAATAATGTATGACTCCACTTATATGTGGTCCCTAGGGTACTCAAATTCACAGAAAAAGAAAACAGAACAGTGATTTCCAGCAGCTGAGGGGACACAAAAATGTCATTTAATGGATGGAGTTTTATCTTTGCAAGTTGAAGAGAGTTCTGGAGATTAGTCCAAACACCACTGAATTGCTCACTTAAAAACTGGCCAAAATAGTAAATTTTTGTTATATTTTACCATAATTAAATTTTTTTAATTAATTATGAAAGAGCCCATTTGTAAAGAAGATATTTCAAGGAACAGTACCCACTTATCCTGCCAGCTACTCTTTGCTAAAACCACCTTAACATTGGTCTTAACTCTACTTAAGAACACAGTTAACTCTACTAACAAAACCAGACACACTAACTTTATACCAACTTCTATTCTATAGTAGGGGGAGTTAGAATGAGGTTCAAGTATATCTACTACTTGATAGTAACACATGGACATTTTATTATCATTAAGAAAGATAAGGACACAAAGGATGTGAAACACAAACTTTTCCAAGAAAGAACACTAAAGGAAGAAGGTGGTAGTTTATAGTAAAAAACACTGGTATCCCCAAGTGACTCAACAGTGGAAGGGAAAAGGGGGAGCATGTGCCAAGGAATCCTGGAGTCAATTCTGAGACCTGAGTAGGATGGAGGACAGTCCAGAGCATCAGCCTTCTCTAAGTACTTCTCAGTCTCCCCAAAAGAGCTCAATGTAGCCACTTCTACCACAAATGTCCATTTATGAGGCAGCACTTTATCTCAGAAGCAGCAGAACTGAGAAATAAAACATGTTTAGGATGAACTTAATTTAGCATGAGATAAATTAAGTCTACCTACATGGTATAATGGAAAGAATACTGGTTTGAGCAAAGAGATCTACATTTTAATCTGAGCTTTACTGTCATTCAAAGTCTACATAACCTTGATGTTGGTGACTGTTGGTGGTTTAGTTAATAAGTCGTGTTCAACTCTTGCAACTCCATGGACCACCATGCTCCTCTGTTCATGGGATTTACCAAACAAGAATACTGGAGTGGGTAGCCATGTCCTTCTCCAGGGGATCTTTCTGACCCAAGGATCAAACCTGGGTCTCCTGTGTTGCAGGCAAATTCCTTACCAACTGAGACACCAGGGAAGCCCACATAACCTTGGAAAAGGCTCTAAATCTATTTGGTCTCAGTATTAAGACTGAGTTGATCTTATAATTTATCATCCAAACAATGATAGTTTTGAAAGTAAAAGGAGGTATTATTAAAATTCTGCCAGAACAAGAGTTAACGCTTAGAAGAGTCGTGGGCCTATTTAGCATCACATAAATAGGAAGTAGTAGCAAATTTATTCTCATGTGTGCAAAGCTCCCTGCTCCCTACACATTATCAAACATTCATGATTTAATTTGCATCCAACAATGTCTTATCCTATAAAAGCTTGGGCTCCCCAGGTAGCACTAATGGTAAAGAACCTGCCTGCCAATGCAGGAGATACAAGAGACATGGGTTCAATTCCTGGGTTGGGAATATCAAATGGAGGAGAGCATGGCAACCAACTCCAGTATTCTTGCCTAAAGAATCCGATGGGTAGAGGAACCTGGTGCTACAGTCCACAGGGTTGCAAAGAGTAGGACATGACTGAAGTGACTGGGCACACACATAAAAGCTTAGGAAAAGTGAGGGGCTACCTTTGATGGTATTTTTACTACCTTTCTCCACCTTCAGGAAAAGTCATTTAAGAAGTAAGCTTTTGAGAACCACCTGAAATGGAATAATGGGTGCAGAGACTATATGAAAAAGCACAGAGAAGCAGAGTCCAGATGTGGCTACAAGGAGAGAGGACAGGAAAAAGACACAGCAGTCAAGAGTGTGCAGAAGAAATGGCAGAAGTAAATGTGCCTGGGAGTAAATTTGTAAGGAAAGCCAGAGTACCTGGAACATGCCCTGTCACTCACCCAAAACTGTGAGACCAGTGACCCCAATATTCCTGCCACCTCTATCTGGAAGGTTGTTAACCAAACACTGGTAGGTGCCTGTATCTGATAGCTGAGTGTTGTTAATGAAGATGGAGACATTGGTGGCTGGCATGGTGCCTGTAAATCCTACCCGACCATGGAATCGGGGGGCACCATCAAACATCTGTCCACCTTGATAGAGAATGACCTGCAAAGGAAAGAAAAAGAAATCATTTGGCCAATGCATCTCCTTCTAGACACATAACAGTACCTATACAGTAAAGAGCAGACTATACCAAACATTGGAAAATTTTATTTCTAATCTTAGAGTTGTCACCAACTTTTTACTATAGCACCTATTTGTAGGTATCCAGGGGTTTTAAATTCCTACATACGAAACTGGAACAATATTATATCTTTAGCTAACTCATCAGGATATATAAAGTGCATTTTATGATACCTTACTTTTGGTCCATAAATATTTTTACCAGTTCAAAAAATTAATTTCAAAATAAAAAGTTAAACTAGCACTGACATTCTCATGCTTACTAGGTCACAAAATGATAAGATCAAGTTATAGACTGGATATAAATGAATGTCAAAAAAGGGAAGAAGAGTTACAATCCACGACTGCTTTTCTTATGTCAATTTATTTATTAAAGCCAACTATTCTGGTGATTGCAGCCATGAAATTAAAAGACGCTTACAGCTTGGAAGGAAAGTTATGACCAACCTAGAGAGCATATTAAAAAGCAGACACAGTATTTTGCCAACAAAGGTCCATCTGGTCAAGGCTATGGTTTTTCCAGTGGTCATGTATGGATGTGAGAGTTAGACTGTGAGGAAAGCTGAGCGCCAAAAAATTGATGCTTTTGAACTATGGTGTTGGAGAAGACTCTTGAGAGTCCCTTGGACTGCAAGATCCAACCAGTCCATCCTAAAGGAGTTCAGTCCCAGGTGTTCATTGGAAGGACTGATGCTGAAGCTGAAACTCCAGTACTTTGGCCACCTGATGCAAAGAACTGACTCATTGGAAAAGACCCTGATGCTGGGAGGGATTGGGGGTAGGAGGAGAAGAGGACAACAGAGGATGAGATGGCTGGATGGCATCACCAACTGGGCATGAGTTTGAGTAAACGCTGGGAGTTGGTGACAGACAGAGAGGCCTGGCGTGCTGCGATTCATGGGGTCGCAAAGAGTCGGACACGACTGAGTGACTGAACTGAACTGAACTGAATTCATGAGAGAGGACTCAGAATGAAGTTGCAAAAAGCTCTTTAGGCTGGCAGTGAGGTACCTGGTTTTATCCAAGCTCTACCTGCAAATATTTGGATGTAGTCAAGTCTTTCCTTGCCTCTATCATTGACTCCTCAAATGATGAGGTTGGACAAAATGATCTCAGTCTAATTATAAAAGGCCCATGGACTAAAGAACTAGAAGAAGTTACTGTCAAACACATCTATTTAAATTTCCTATCAGAAAACTTGGCTTATCAAATATCTTTAAGCAGTAAAAATTCTACTGAAGCAGAAAAACTTCATAACAGAAATAAGTTAACTTTGGGAAGGAAAGGTATAGTCATGGTCACAATTCACTAATTTTCTGAGCATTATTTTCTGTAATGGGTATCACATGTAATGGGGTCTTTTACCTATAACTGATATAGCTTATGAGGTAGTAGCTTCTATTTGAACACCCTGGAAGATGACTAGCATGCCTGGCTTTATTTTAAAATACTTCTTCAATTAACCAAATAAATCAAGTACTATTAATACTATCTAAAGTTACTTCCTTAATACTATTATCACTATCTTTAAAAAGTACTTGCTTATCCACTTATGTCAGTGCCAGTCCCTTCCTGTCAAAACATACCTTTCTTTTACTGTCTCAGTATTTCCTATCAACAATGTCTTCTGATAAGATTCCAGATTCCTACATATTCCTCAGAAGGACCCTCTTGACATGTCTTAATTTTTTTTAAAGTCTTTCACAAAGAGGATAGCTTCTTTTGATAGTTGGCTAACAATGTAGGAATAGGACTTAAAACAGCACAGGCATACTGAAAGTATCACCTTATTCTAGAAATCAAATATGTATTCAAGACACTTTCCTACCCACCTCTTATAAAAAGATTAAAATCTCAGTGGCAGCACAGGATGGAACAGAAGTACCTGCTCAGGCTGGTTTGCATTGGAGAGAGGAATGACCATCCAAATGACATTGAGGTTAATGAGGGCAGCGCTTGTGGTGAAAGTACAGGGCAGGACTGCTGTCTGACCCCGGGCAACTTGAACACTCCCAGGGCTCTCAGAGACTTCCAGGGAAGCTGCAACACCTAGAGAAGAAGGAACAGGAGGTCATGTGATAGACCAAATCCCTTCAGAGAAAGCTTGTGTTTTATATTATCAGTAATGTAGACAGACTGACATGACAGTACTTATTAAACATCTACTGACCATTCACTAAGTCAAAGTAATAAAAATTGGTCATCCCTTTACTTCTTAGAAACTGTAAATAAAAAAAATTTTAGAGGCTACTGATTTATTTTATAAGACATTATCTTATATTTGCCAGATTCGAATACAAACTGGGAGAAATTAACTGAAAGCATTTGAGCAAAGTTTTAATGGTGATGAGAGATGAGACATAGACTGAAAATATTTTAAAGCATCATTGCACAACACTGTAAATTCACAAAATATGTCCAGGATCTATACCCTGAAAACTATAAAATTCAATGAAAGAAATTTAAAAAAGACTAAATAAAAGGACAGATATGCAACCCTCATGAGTTGGAAGATTCAGTATTGTTAAGACATCAATCCTACCCTAACTGGTCTACAGATAGAGAGTAAAACCAATAAAAATTGAAGCAGACTTCCTGTGGATACTAATTATAAAACACATGAAAAGGCAAAGAACTAGAACAGCCAAAAGAATACCAAAAAAGAAGAACAAATTTGGAAAAGTTACACTATCTGATTTCAAAATTTGCTATAAATTGGCCATAGCAATCAAGACAGTGCAGTACTGGCATAAGAACAGATTCCCAGACAAATGGCACAGGATTGACAGTTCTGAAATAAACCCTGTATTTATGATCAAATGCTTTCAACAGAGGCAGAAGACAATTAAATGGGGAAAAATAGTCTTTTCAACAAATCATACTGGAACAGTTCAATATTAATATGCAAAAAGTTTAACTCAGACCTTACCTCACCACATCCACAAAAATCAATTCAAAAATGTATCATAAACCTGAATGTAAGCATTAAAGCTATAAAGCTTCTAGACATAAATATAAGAGAAAATTTTTGTGACCTTGGGTTAGTCAAAGAGGTCTTAGATGTGTCACCAGGACCATAAATCGTAAAAGAAAACAATAATCTAGACTTCATTAAAATTTTTTTAAAGTTTGTACTTCAAAAGATTTAATTAAGAAGATAAAAAATCAAAGTATAGACTGGGAAAAATATCTGTAAACTACACACCTGATAAAGGATTTGTATATAGAATATAAAGAACTATTACAACTCAATAATAAGGCAACCTAATATTAAAATGGGCAAAAATCTGAGTAAATATTTTAACAAAGGTAATTAGTAAGCACATGGAAAGATGCTCACTAGGAAACTGCAAATTGAAACCATAATAAGGCTATCACACAGCCACTGGAACGGCTATAATTCAGACAATATGAAGCACTGATGAGGGTATAGAGAAACTGGAATCCTCCTCATTTACTGCTACTGGGAATGTAAAATGGTACAATAACTTCAGAAAATAATTTCAGTTCCTTAAAAAAATTTAACATAGACACGGAGTAAACTTACCATACAACCCAGAAATTTCATTCCTAGGAATCTACGGAAGTAGATTGAAAATGAAAATATATGTCCATGCAAAGACTATGAATGCTTATAACAGCATTATTGATCTCATACTTGTGAATGGAAAAAATATAAATATCCATTAGCTGATGAATAAACAAAATGTGGTATATCCATACAATGAAATACTATGCATAAATAAAAAGCAACAAGCTACTGATACAAGTTACAACATGGATGAGCCTCTCAAAAAAATTTTGCTAAGTAAAAGGACCCCAAATTCAAAAGCCTCAGTTCAGTTCAGTTCAGTCGCTCAGTTGTGTCCAACTCTTTATACATACTGCATTATTCCACTAATACGAAAAGTCCAGAAAAGGCAAATCTATAGTAAGAAGAGGCAAATCAGTGGCTTGGCGGCATGGACTAGAGAGAAAGGAAAAGAGACTGATGCAAATAGGTTCAACGGAACTTTTCAGGGCAATGGAAAACTAAAACTGATTTATTCTGATAGCTGTGTAACCCTACAAGTCTACTAAAAATAACTTAATTTTATATTTTAAATGGATGAGTTCTTTGTAGTATAAATTATACCCCAGTATCGTTATTAAAATTAAAAAAAAGAAAACAGTAACTTACCAGAGCTAACTCCTGGCAAGTCAAAATCAACTGTTATCTCTTCTGAAAAGAATGCCTGCCCCCTGCGACTGTAGAACAGTATGGGAATAACAGGAGGTTAAGTGAGAGGAATCCAACAAAGAAGTTATTCTAACTATGAAAAAAACATTATGTCCATGGCAGTATCTCAAACTGTTTTATTTTGAAGTGATATTATCTCAGTTTTCCCAAAAAAGTAACAAAATAACATACTTCTATGATTACAATTAGTATAAAAAATAAATGTTCATAGCATCTTTATTCTATAAAACTTCCTGTTCTTCACATATAGTCTGATGAAACTCTGGGGAGTTAAATTTGCAGGATAAAATGTTTCATAAAATGAGCCATCTGTGGTAGAATATAAAGCACTTGATAACATCAAGAAAAGTTTTTAAGTTAAATAACTTTAGGGAAAGCCTCTCAGTTTTAAAAAGGAAAATTGAAAGAACCTAAGAGGCAAACAGCGAAGGTCATTTGATCACAGAACAGGCAATGGCAGGAAAAAGCCACCTCCTGGGTAGAAATAGGTAAAGGGAGGGTATTTGTTCCAATGATTATTATAAATGCAGTGGAGATGTTTTTAAAAGTAAATGTGGGTGCTTCCCTGGCGGCTCAGTGGTAAAGAACTGGTTTGCCAATACAGAAGACACAAGTTCAGTCCCTAGTCCAGGAAGATCCCTCATGCCACAGAGCAATAAGGCTCATGCATCGCAACTACTGAGCGTGCGCTCTAGAGCCTGAGAGCTGCAACTACTCGGCCCACATGCCCAAAGCCCATGCTCCACCAGAGAGACCGCTGCCATGAGAAGTCCACACACCACAGCGAGAGAGCGGCCTCCACTCACCACAACTGGAGAAAAGCCCGTGCAGCGGTGAAGTACCAGTAGAGCCAAAAATAGGTAAATACAATACAACAAAATAAAATTTTTAAAGTGACTGTGGACAGCAAACTGGCACAAAACCTGCACCACTTCATTCTTCAGATATCACTCCAAAGCAGCAGCACAGCGGATGTGCCCCATCCCCTTAAACTGTTCAGGATAACACACACCCTCAACCCTCAAATCACTCATGTCACGCTGAAGTTACACAATCTTTGACACAAATGAAAAAAGGGTGGGAGGCAGTGAAAAGTAAAGAATGAAAGATAGAGATGTAGGTGGGAAAACTACCAAAATGTGGCAGGATTCCGGTAGAGGAAGAGGAGCTTGGCAGGACCAGGGTAGGGGATGAGAGGCAGGAGCAGGACTGCTGGCAGAGGGCAGACTCTGGGGTGGCAGCAGCTGTGCAAGACTGACTTCATTTACCTCCCATTTTTAAGTTTTTTTTTTACTGAAGTATAGTTGAATTATAATGCTGTATACTTCTCATTTTTACATAAGGTTAACTGTGAAATCTCAGGCACTGAGATAACTACAGAAGAAATACTCTATATAAGCTGCTTTCAAAACTCATAAAAGCATAGGTTTGAAGCTGGAAAAGACCTAGTTTGAAATCTGACTCTTTCATCTGCTTTGCTGTGGGGCCTCAAATAAGTCACTTATTCTCTGATTACATCACTTATTTGTAAAATGAGGCTAATACTTTCATCATCAGAAGAATGTAATGAAGGCGGTATCTGATGCTGATGGCTGATGATGACCGCTCCCTCAGTCACTACTTTAGCTGACAACACACATAGAAAGTCCACATTGCTGTTATTCAGTCACTAATTTGTGTACAACTCTCTTTGACCCCATGGACTGCAGCACGCCAGGCTCCCAGGTCCTTCACTATCTCCCAGAGTTTGTTTAAACCCATATCCATTGAGTCAGTGATGTCATCCAACCATCTTATCTTCTGTCGCTCCCTTCTCCTGCCCTCAAGCATTTCCAGTATCAGGTTCTTCTCTAATGAGTTAGCTCTTTGCATCAGGTGGCCAAAGTACTGGAGCTTCAGCTTCAGCATCAGTCCTTCCAATGACTATTCAATTAAGCACTAAAGTGAAGAAGAACTAAAGAGCCTCTTGATGAAAGTTAAAGGGGAGAGTGGAAAAGTTGGCCTAAAGCTCAACATTCAGGAAACTAAGATCATGGCATCCGGTACCATCACTTCATGGCAAAGAGATGGGGAAACAGTGGGAACAGTGACAGACTTTATTTTGGGGGGCTCCAAATTCACTGCAGATGGTGATTGCAGCCATGAAATTAAAAGATGCTTGCTCCTTGGAAGGAAAGTTATGATCAACTTGGACAGCATATTAAAAAGCAGAGATATTACTTTGTCAACAAAGGTCCATCTAGTCAAGGGTATGGTTTTTCCAGTAGTCATGCATGGATGTGAGAGTTGGACTATAAAGAAAGCCGAGCACCAAAGAATTGATGCTTTTGAACTGTGGTGTTGGAGAAGACTCTTGAGAGTCCCTTGGACTGCAAGGAGATCCAACCAGTCCACCCTAAAGGAGATCAGTCCTGGGTGTTCATTGGAAGGACTGATGTTGAAGCTGAAACTCCAATACTTTGGCCACCTGATGCAAAGAGCTGACTCATTTGAAAAGACCCTGATGCTGGGAAAGATTGAGGACAGGAGGAAAAGGGGACAACAGAGGATGAAATGGGTGATGGCATCACTGACTCAATGGATATGGGTTTGGGTAAACCCCGGGAGTTGGTAATGGACAGGGAGGCCTGGTGCAATGTGGTTCATGGGGTCGCAAAGAGTCGGACACGACTGAGCAACTGAACTGGAACTGGATATATAAACATATACATGTGCATACACATACACACACTCTCTCTCTCATTTAATACTATAAAGTATTTTATGGCTTCCCAGGTAGCTCAACTGGTAAACAATCCTCCTGCAATGT